AATTTTACAAATTAGATTTTATTGAAGCGATGTTTTAGATCGATTACAAACAATCTCATTATCTCACAATAGATGTGATGTGATATAATGTCAGACTATGTATATTTATATTATATGAAAGTATAGTATAGAAATAATTATATACATAGAAAAAAATGTATAAAGTACTGAAATTATTCACATCCATGAGAAAAGCGTGCGAATGGCCGTAAGAGTGAGAAGTTCCAAGTAACAAGGTAATATTTAAAGTTACGAACACGCGGTATGGCGCCTCTCATTGTGATTACGCCATCAAAGGTACCGACCTTGCATCCATCTAAATTGGGATTTTTTTTCGGGATCGGCCGCGTGAAGGAGAGAGTATCCGCGCCGCGCGAGAGAGTTCGTTTAACTTTCAAATTGACCCCGATTTAAACCGCAAAAGGATGCCGACAACGTTGGTAGACACGACTCTTCGGCGGATCCAATTTGCCGGTGAGGTGTGAAGCGATGTTTCGGTCTTTTAGAGGAGGAGAAAAGTGGATATATAAGTTGCCTTGAGGATGCACGATGATGCCGAAATTATTCATGGTTAAGACTCTTATAAGAGACGTAACCGCTACATTTTTAAAGAGATAACGATTACTCGGAAGTACCTTATTTTGTTACATTTTACAGTGACAGTTCATTTAATCTTTACAATCTTATTATTTTAAATATTCTTTTGCTTATTCTGATTAATATTTACCACAATAAAAATATTAATATCTACCACAATAAGATATAAAATATACTCGATTAATTTTACTATGTACATAGTAAAATTTATTATGTATCTATTAATATTTTTTATTGCGGTGAATATTAATTTTAAGGTTAAATTCTAAGAGAAAATTATCTCCGTGCACTAACTTTAATTTTCAAGATTTTCTCAACTTAATTATCTACAATTATTTTATATTTCGCAAAGTATCAGTTTAATAAATTCAATAAAAGCGACATAGTTAAAAATTAGAAATTTACACCAGAATTATTAAAGATCGAGAATACATAAATCAAGTTACGTTTTTGTTCGATGCTTGTTACTCCTCACGCAAGATGAAGAAATCATAACGACTTCAATTAGGTCAATTTTCGCATACTTCGTATTTCAGAATTCCGTTCGTCGATTTTTGCCTCATCAGTGTTGGAATTTATTCGTATTCCGGATAAACCATTACGCGATCAAACGAGTTTGACGCGAACAAACATGTGTTCGATTCAATCAGCGCAATAACGATGACGACGATGACGATGACGAGGTCTTTCTGCGAGAGACCTTCGGATCTATTATTGACCTAATGCAACGTATCTGCCGGGCAACGTATCTTGCGTTGCATGTTCCATTTGCATCCGCTGGTAGGTTCCAGGTTAGACCGATAATCAGACGACCGGCTTTCTCGTTCGTGTTTCTCGCTTCCGATTAACTGCCGAGTGTTTCGCATTCCGCGGCTTGCTTTTTCTGCTACTTCTTTCAGCCACAGATATAGGGAGGCAAATCTCAGGGAGGCAAAACTACGTCTCGCTGCTCGAATTTAATACTGACATACATACGTAACATTCACGTGACAAAGAATGATATTGATGGAAATGCGATAATAAATACTTATTACGGTCCATTATTGAGACAAATTTTAAGAGTCAATCTTATAAGAGATTGGATAATCATAAAACGAAATAATAATATTTTGTGAACGCGTGATGCCTTATTCACTGAATTGCTTCTCTTTTACAATCGCGGATCTTATAATTTTCGCGAGATATAGTAAAATGATACTTGATTGTCAACTTGTAGTGTTTCGAGGGTGTTATGATCTCTTGAAAAATTATATCGAAATCAGAAATGTAACAAGTATTTGCTAAGGCTAAAATAAAAATGGGGTAAGAAATTCAAGATTGATATCAGATTCTATGCACGCGTGTATATCGCAGAGAAATGAATCTAAGGAGAACTACGAGATTTCCTTTATCCTTTAATTATCTACCACCTGGAGCAGTGTAAACAGGAAATAAAGCCGATCAACCTAATCATAGGTAAGATATGCCCGGCATGCCGGTAGATACGACCGGTATAAATGAGACGATACATCACTTACAGTCATGCTGAAACAGAGTATCGATCCTTGGAACCAAAGATTACTTGCTAGGCCTCTATGTATGATCGCTTTGCAATAAAACTGAAATTGATTGTCGAGACAAAACGAGATTATTTTCGTTTCGCGTATAACGAAACATCAATTCTTGATTTTGCCCGAGTATAGGAACGATTACGTAAATGCATTTTAAAGGGAAGGGACAGCACATTTTTATACAACAAATAATTAATTCTATTATTAGGAAAGAAGTGTAATAAAATTATTGTAGAATTCAAATTTTAAATATGCTTATCAATTGCTAATTCAAAATTTTTAACAATATACAAAGTTTTCTATTTTATCGTGCATTTTATATGAACAGGCAATAGATGATTTTTATTTGTTCGATCATTTCTTTAAATTGTCAATATTTTTCTTAATAACAACAAGAGCGATAATAGTACCCGGATCTTCTGCTTGAATTCTTCAAAGCGTAGCAGAGTTTCATATTTACGTGCGCTTCTCTATAATTAAATGTAATTTCACGGTTGATCGCGAAGTAGCTAAAACTGCTTCTCTGGATTTTTTGAAAATCTTGCTATTGATCTTGATCTTACAACTGTAGAAAATTTATTTGATACAAACACTTTGAATTAAAAGAAATAAATCCAATTTATTGAGATTATAATTAATTGTATTTTCTCTGCAAACATCACATAGTTTTAATTCTTCGAGACTCTTTCGTGAGTATAATTTATTTTTTTAAAATTCCTAACTCATTTTTTACTTATGGAATATGAATCGCTATGTAGCAATGGCTACAGATCATACACCTTCAAATGGCGTTTCAAATTATGTACATATATTCTAGAAAAATTAAAAATACAAAAAATATAAAATTTTTAAATATCAAATTATAAAATAAAATTAAAACAAAATTTTGTATTTATTTTATATTTGAAGTTTATAATTAGCTTTTCAAATTTTTGATTATTAATATCATACCTATAATTTAACTTGATGTTCACGTCTTGTAACAACGAAGCATCATTTCTCTCTTAATTTAATACATGTCATTAAGACGAAGCTTGAGATTTCTTGAGATACCTTCTATATAAGGAAAGAACGGCTATTATAAAAATATCGGTGGATTAATGTCACACTCGACATTCCAAGCATCCCTTCTATTTATAATTTTGTTAGATTGCCCCTATATAATTTTTGTTATAATCAGTCAATTTTAATGCACATCACGTGTTTTAATCGACTCATAGCTCAAAAGCGATCAAAAAATAGCGTTTTCGAAGACGGAATATTCCTTCCATCACTGTTGGCAATTTTTTTTCAAAGCTCTGATTTAAGTGGTCAGGCGTGTATCATATATTTTATATTCATGAAGTTCCTATGAGCTGTAATTAAGTTAGAATTTTATAGTTGATTGAGCAATTGAAAGTTTTTCTCAAGTTTTTATCGGTCCGCGCGAAAACCCGCAGGGTATATTGATAATCATTAGCGAATAGAATTTATGACCGAAAAATATATAATTTGATTAGAGACTTCTTTTTACGTATTTTCATAAAACGCATTGTTCACGATAATGCAATCAATACTAATTGTAAATTATAATTATTGGTGTAAATACAATTATAAACATTTCTATAGCAATTACAATTTTTGCGATATTATCAGCTTTAGCTGAAACTTTCTTTATAAAGAAATTAACTTTCGAAATAGGACGATATTTTTTATTTGTAATTTTCGACTTAGCCGTCTCTATTTTTAATTGACGCGAATATTTGGATTCTTTGTTTTAATTCGCGATTTATATTGTAACTTCAATATAAGTTTGTATGAAGTCGACATAAATAAAAACGGCTGATGCTTACGAGAGAGCTTTGCAATTAAGTTAGAGTTTTATGTTTCAACTACCGTCGGTGTATATCTATATAGAAGCGATCGAAGCTTTCGTGCGCTTATTAACATCAAATTACAATCGCCAAGGGTGTGATTATAACACGATTCTTCTTCGCATGTTCGAAAGAACGAGCGTGCGGAGAACAGGTTGATTATAAGCAGTCATCGATCGAGAGGCACATTTTTCATGACTCTCGTTGCTTCTTCTATTTATCCTTACGAGCGCGTGTACTTCGACCAGCATAAGATCAGGTTGCGGCAAAAGAGATATAATGAACAGGGAATATTTTGAAAGAGTCGGAGAAAATGTGCCTACCGAGAGAGCAACATGTCATATAATATATCTATTAAATAGGGATTTAAGATCATTATATAATTAATAGAATTAATTAATTTAATATTATGTATATAACAGGATTGGCTAATAACTAGTTCATTAGTTAAAAGATAACAAAAAGTTTAAAAGTTAATGACTTTTAACTTAGCTCAGTTAATTTAAAATGTATTAATTTTTAATTTCAATTAGTTGTTTCACTTTTTCCCAAGTTAATTTTTTTATCTCTGAATATCATTATTGTTTTTTTATAAGTTATAAACGTATTTTTAAAGTATTATTAATTTTTATGTGCATTTGTCATCAATTGTAATTACCAAAAAATATATTTCTATATCAAAAACAAAATTTCTTCGTTATTATACATTTTAAAAAAATTAACAAACGAAATTCTAATTTAATATAGATAATATTTTTAAAAATTAACTTTTGATAACTAAATTAATTTTATAAGCGACTAACTTTCACTTAACTTAGTTTAAAAGAATCATCAACTTATCCAACCCTGGTATATGTATAATAATACTAATGTGGAATTTATTCAAAAAAATACGGAAAGATTGGGAAAAAGAAAGTTTGTCTGTCCGGATGTTTTTTGAAGCATCGAAGTCGCTATTATATAAAATAAGTTTTATATGAAAGAAAAAAGCTTTACTTACCGAACCATAAAGTAGACCGCAGGAATCCATACAGAGATAAAGGCAGGTCGCTACGCCTTGAATCCTTAATTGGCCTCTCGATACCGATGTCCTTTGAAAAATCGCTGAAAAAGATGATTATTGTCAATTTTGTTGATTCTTTTCTTTTCGTAAAGTTCATTTATTTATTATACGACAATGAAAGATCTGGTCGCGTTTAACGATACATATTTCTCGAATACAAAGAACAGAATTCAACGACACGATCGGGAAGGAACAGGTTCTCTGAATGTTTAATTCGCGGAGTCTTTTTCCTTCTAATGATTCAATCTTGAGTGCGATGAATACGTATTTTCAGCCGGCCGTGATTCATGAACGTTTATCTCGAACGTGTCAATGTCCATCGAGCTGCTCGAGCTGGCGTTGTCTGGCTTTGATGAATGAAGTCGGAGCGCAAAATTGCAATTGCAGCCGCGCAGAGATACGCAACGTCGACGCGAGGCATATTGATACCGTCGATAAAGCTTGACGTGGTCGATCGAGAATTATTTGTCACGACGCGATCGCCTCTATGTAAGACTGCCTTTAACGTCCATTTACGCGCGATTGACAGGATCGGTGAAATGAATTATCGGGAATAATGATCGATCTCTTGCCCCCGAATAACTCCTTCGGAAAAGATGCAGGAGCAGGACGAGCGGCTGCAACGTTGTTACAGAGTACCAGAGTTGCAGCACTTACAGCTGTAATCATCTTAATTCCTCAAAGCTCCTATACAGCACGTCGGGGCGCGTATTAAACATGTGCGTGACACGATCTAGCGCGAATCATAGAGGCGAACGCGATTGCGTTCTATCTGAACGCAGGGCCCCCGGTAAATGAAATGAATTATCGAGAACGAGCGGAGTCGATTCGCCTCTCCTGCTTCGTTTTTTTTTTTTTTTTTTTTTTTTTTTTTCGAGATTTCTCTCTCGGGAAGAAGGAGTTACATAGTGTTTCATCCGCGGCCGGACTCATCTCGCGGAACACGACACTAACAGAATACGTGCTTGCTTATACAAGTATAGCAGCTTACACATTAATCATTTGAATTTTTCAATAGTTTGTTGGAGGATACGCGGCAGACGTAATCGTGCGATTAGTATATTAAAGACGTGACAATCTCACATCGCAAAACGAATAGATACGCGATCGCGTATATATGTATATATAGGTATGTATCTCACCACCTGTAGCGCGGTGCGTGAACTAAATACAGGGTGTTCAACGCGGTAATTCATTGCTTGGTCTCTTAATTTCTCTCTCAATCCGCTCTCCTTTCGCCTGATATTGCAAAATGATGGGACGGGTGGTAGGTACGTGCACGCATAAATGGCCGCGTAATTAAAGCGACGACGAGCGGAGTAGCAGGTTTCATATTCGACCTGGTTTTATATGCGACGAGTTCACTTTTCATTGCAGAAAATTATGGATTTTTTCGCGAGAAGAAAAAATATCATTAGACACATTTACAGGACAGAGAATGTATAACGAGGCTCCTCTCATATTTAAATAGAATAAAAGATATGAGGCATGAACCCTAAACGCGACACTTTTAATTCTTGTTCGAAAATTTGGTTGAAAAATGTTTGTGATATATTAAAATTTGTGATAGTCAAGAATCTAGATAAAAAATTATTTTTCATTTTTTTTTCTTTTTCACCTCTATAGTCTGATTATCGCGCGTTGTGTATCAATATGTATCTCTAGCAGCTGTTATAATTTTTCACACTATTCAGTTTCCTGCAATTTATGAAGTGTGCATTTAAAATCGACTTGACTCGACAAGAAGCAGCGCAGGTTGATTTTAAATGGATGATTGGCTAAACTGGCTGAGTGTCTCCAACGATATTTTCCTTCTCTCGCCCATCCAACGTGTTGCTGTCATCGCGATTAAACATGCTGTTGCGTCGCTAAGACGCATCGGCGTGTTAGTCGCGTCATTTACCACGGTGGCTTGTGCACGAAAGCGTGAATATCTCGTGCATGCCTGCGATTTTTGCCAAGTAATAACTTACGCACCTCTCTGCGAGATGACTACCGCCGTCAAAACGCGTTGGACGCACAGCGAATGCCAATGACTCGTCCAAATAGAGTTATTGATTCATAAATAAGTTTCCGTTTTACTTAACAAACTAAACGTTTATATAAACTCATTTCATTTATGAAATTATAAATTATAAAATGATTATATATTTATATTTTAATCCGTTATTTATTTTCCATTTTTCAGTACATTTTGTGACGCAAAAAAAATGTACAAATTTATCGTGAAATCAGCATTATTATATTTTTCCATTTAATTTCATGCAATTTTTTTGTTATTGTTTCGATTTAAAATCATTTTTCAGAACAAATAATTATCTATAGAAAAAATTATTTAGAAATTTCAAGATATCTCAGAAGGCAAATAAATTTTCGTAGCTCGAGATGTCAGAATATTTTTTACTGTTTAGTTTAACTTATTGGAATTTTTTGCTCCGAAACTAGTTATTAAAATATCACAGCACTTGTTTGAATTTAATAATATCTAATTCGAAATCCAAGTTTCCCTCTCTCTCTTTTTCTTTGTCGGCAGACATAATTTTCTCAGAAGTGTCATCAAAACATGTTTCCGACGTTTACGACGATTTATTAAACGCTAAATACGCGGCTTTACAAAGCAGGTTGAAATCAGGGATCGTAAAATTTCATCTTGCATCTGCGTAGATTCTAGTCCTTGTACGTTTATTGCGACACGCACTAATTAAGAATAAAGCTCTCTGTATAGCCGGAAGGGCATCAATTAAGCGTAACTTGCCACCTAAGAACATCGATGATGATAGCGTTTGTGATCGGTATTCGCGGATAAGTCATTCGAGGTATAAGAGATACGTTTTCGATTCTTTGCGCATAAGTGATCATTTATAAAGCCAGTTTATAAAGACATGCAAGTATGATAAAGGAAGTTTAATGCAGCCAGAACCGGCAATTTCGCGAAGTAGGCGATGTCATAAAATAATAGTAAGTGCCTATTGCTACGATACCTTCGTAACCATTTAGTCTCATTTAGCGATTAATGAAATATAATTAAATGATAATGCAAGGAGCGCGGTTTATGACAAAATGATGCATCCGATATTTGTGATAGCTTAGTAATATTTTTGAAGATTAGCTTATTACGAATTAAATGAACGATGATATTGACGTAAAGGCAGATTTAAAACTAAATTTCCGAGTTAAATAAGATCGCGTGCCGTGTTATAATTTCAATTAGCGTGTCAAAAAATATTGAGGGAATTGTATAGCAATAATAACATGCAGTGTTAAATCCATGTAGAGTTACATGAAAATTTAGCGGCACAAGATAGTGATTAATATCACGGTAGCACGCGGAATTACATATAAATAGGATAATTTTCACGTTTCAAAGTATATGCTTTCTTTTATCGATCGTTGCATGTAACACATACATAATTGCGATCGATTGAGAAATAATTATACCTTAATTGCACTTAATCTTATGTCTTGAAACAAACTACAATTGACGTTAATATATTTCGGCATCAGCTCTTCCCGTTATTTCGACGTCGGTTTTAATTATGTTACGATTATTATTCTATTTATATTTTACAAGATCTTGTATACATGTCTTTCTGGTATTATATTCTATTATTTTGCGACAGAATTTACTACTACTGCAAAGTATCAATTATAAACTGACACTAACATTAACGAATAGCGTATCATTTATTTCAAAAGAGATGAAAAAATGTTGTGCGATTGTAACTTGTTATCCAAACGCAGGGAGAACTGACAATGAGATATATATGTTAATATATATATATATATTTTTTTAAAGCGAAAAGATACGAAGAGAGACGATAAAAATCATTTTAACGTGTAACGCAAATCGCGGTGACATATACGAGCATCAATTACGATTTCGCGCTTTGCAAGAATTTATCCTTTCCATTTTTATGAGTTTGAACTCGTGTTGTACATACATATTACGCGATTGTAGATTCATTTATCATCGGAATGAGCACGAGTTTACGACGTCGTTGCGATACAAACTCGTGATTTGCGACAATAAGCTTCATACATCGACAAACCGACGGTTCTTATCGGAAGATTTAATAATTTATTCAAATTGCCATCGCACGCAGAAAAATTCGCACACTAACGTACAGTGACCTCAATTTCTGGGAAGCGTAGAAATGTCTATGGAAATCGATTTATTCGTTGATTTATACCGATTGCTAGAATTAATCCAGCCATCATTATCAGTATCAACGTGATATCGTAACAAGCTTTGCAGACAAGCATCATAGATTAATAATACTTAGAAAACGATTGCTCACATTTAACTCTTTTAAGGATCGATGGAGCATGTAGCTCAAGAAACAGTTATCAATTGATCGAATACGATACATCATTGTTTGAATTTTCGGAAGAAAGAGAAAAATTTTTATTGCAATATTTCCAATCGAATTATTTTATTATAATATTTATTATTCGAATTATTTTATTATAGTATTTTTCTAGAGTTTATTAGAATTTTGCAAAAAGAAAAAATTCGACAGTAGTATTTTTTTCTTATAATAATTATATCTATTTTTACATATAGAGTAATTTTATATTTTATATAACAAATTACGTACAAGTTTTAAGTTTGATTTATTTTTTTCTCTATATTTTATCTCTCTTGCGCGCAATATATTTTTTAAAGAAAATCAAATACAATTCAGTATTTCTTGGTAAAATTTCACGGCGACCTTCCTTCGATGTGTGCATTATATTATTGCTAATTTAAAATTTCAATATGACATTAGAAATCCGATGTGGTTTACATCTTCGGCCAACGTGTCGCGATGTCAAAATAAATTATTGGCATTATAAATTCGATTCAAGAAACAAGTTAGGAGTCGTTTCGTGCGCGTTTTGTATCCAGATGTTTCGACTCAATCGCGTGCTGTTGCTTTTGTGGGTGATGTTAATTTATAGGCATATAATATATGTTAGAAATATTATAATAACATTCTCGTGAGTTTTGCGGACGCGACTAGATAGGAAATTGAAACGATGCGATGACAATAAAAAAAAA